TTTTTTTTTTTTCTTTGAGACAGAGTCTCAAGCTGTTGCCCTGGGTAGAATGCCCAACCTCAAACTCTTGGGCTTAAGCGATTCTCTTGCCTCAGCCTCCCAAGTAGCTAGGACTACAGGCACCGGTCACAGTGTCCAGCTATTTTTTGTTGTTGTTGTTGCAGTCTTCATTGTTGTTTAGAAGGCTCACCAGCCTGGGTATATGTGGCTGTTGCCCTACCCACTGAGCTCTGGGCTCCGCCTGATGTTCTTGAGGGGAAAGAAGAAATGGGGCCAGGTGCAGTGGCTCACACCTATAATTCCAGCACTCTGGGAGTCTGGGAGGGAGGATCACTTGAGCTCAGGAGTTCAAGACCAGCTTGCACAGGAGTGAGGCCACATCTCTACTAAAAATAGAAAAATTAGCAGGGCTTTATGCCAGGTACCTGTATTCCCAGCTATTCAGGAGGCTGAGGCAGGAGGATTGCTTGACTTATGAATTTGAGGTTGCAGTGAGCTATGATGATGCTACAGCACTCTAGCTGAGGCAATAGAGCTAAAGTCTGTCTCAAAAAAAAAAAAAAGGTAAAAGTTACTGTGTTTCTGCTTAATAATTTGGGCAAATTAGTTAAATTCACTGAACCTTAGATTCCTCCTCTGTAAAATGTTAATGGCATTATCCCTGATCAAAATTCAGTGAGAAAATGTATGAAATGCTTTATATATAATTACTACTGAACAAACCGTGTCCACTAATGCAATGACACTGGTGACTCTATACATCCTCCCATTGACTTCAGGGTATGGTCACATTTAATGGTTCAGTCTGCTGTCGTAAAAAGTGGTTCCAAAACTTCTGTTCAAATTGTTATTTTAAATCTTTTTCTTTTCATATTTCACAGACAGATGATAGATTAGTATCTACGGATGGATTTATGCTGAATTTCCTTTGGGTACTACAGCAGCTAAGTACAAAAATCAAGCTAGAAACCGTTGATCCCACATATATATTTCACCCAAGATGTCGGATCACGCTTCCTAACGATGAGACGCGCGTGAATGCAACCATGGAGGATGTGAACGACTGGCTGACTGAACTCTGTGAGTCCCGTGGTCCCCATTAGGTCCTTAACACCCTGCCCTTCTGTCGGGATGCTCGTGATTTCCTCACAGATTGTTACTTCTCCATAAAATAAATCTATGAAATAGAAAAACACGATAAAATTTATATAGTAAAAAATTCTCATTTGGATTAGCCATAATACAGCATAGAACAAATGGAAGGAGATATAGTATTCTCAGTAAGAAAGAAAAAGGAAATATAATAAAAATGGTAACGACTTGGCCGGGCACAGTGGCTCACGCCTGTAATCCTAGCTCTCTGGGAGGCTGAGCCGAGTGGATTGCCTGAGCTCACAGGTTTGACACTAGCCTGGGCCAGCGTGAGGCCCCGTTTCTAAAAATAGCTGGGCGTTGTGGCGAGCGCCTGTAGTCCCAGCTACTCAGGAGACTGAGGCAAGAGTTTGAAGTTGCTGTGAGCTGTGATGCCACGGTACTCTACTGAGGGCGACATAGTGAGACTCTGTCTCAAAAAAAAAAAAAAGGAAATGAAGCGTATTGTGAGAGACCTTATGCATGTGTTATAATATGTAAATGTATGTTTCATGGAATGAGACAGAATGAATACGTAAAATAAAAGAATGGGAAAAATATGTGTTGCATGACTGGTAAGAACGTACTATTCAAAATATAGGACTGTTATAAGTGTATAAGGGCAGAGCTGAATTCTATCAAGAAACAGTTTTATCTATCTAAAGCAGTGGTTCTCAACCTTCCTAATGCCGCAGCCCTTTAATAGAGTTCCTGTGGGTCGTGACCCACAGGTTGAGAACCACTGATCTAAACACATTCTGGTGTTCTTTTATAATGAAAATTATAATACTCTTATTCTCAGTACTTCCACTTTTCAGAACATATTCTCAAATGTGGGGTGTGAGGGAATAAGTTTCGTGCATTGATCCTCCCAAGCACTACTGTTATTTATAGTAGAAAAAAACAGAAACAACAAGCATTTGGGGAAATGGCCATGGGATCAGTAACTTATTATCCTAATAGCATTTTAAGATTTAAGTAAAATTTGTGTATTGTGTTGGAAAATGGAGATTTTGTACAATACATCAGGAAGTCACAAAAGATTACTGTTAGACATCTACATAAACGTTTAATCAGGACAGAATGAGCTCGGATGGAGCTTATGGGGATTCTGTTCCTCTCATAACATTGCTTAAGTTCGTGATTTTGAAAGTATCCTTAATCTTCTTGAAAATTCAAGGATAATAATAGTCCCTTCTGAATTGAGCTTTTTCCCTGACGGAAGCTTGTAATAGATTTTTATTTAGGAAATTACGGTATTTTTTCCTAGATGGAGATCAGCCTCCATTTTCTGAGCCGAAGTTCCCCACGGAATGCTTCTTCCTCACCCTGCATGCTCACCACCTCTCTATTCTGCCCAGTTGCCGTCGTTACATCCGCAGACTCCGGGCCATCAGGGAGCTTAATAGGTATGTGCCATGATCCCCCGTTCTGGGATTGCCCCAGTTACCGCTTGTTCTCATGGATGACAGTTCCCCCGTGATCACTGGATTTGAATGCGAAGGCTCAGATATTACAGCATCTGGCTGCCTCCACTATCACATCCATGTTGCTTAGTTGTTCAAGTTCTTTACCAGGCAAGGTGACCAAACCTTGATTGCTGGGAATTCTGAACTCTTGGCTGGAGTGTGTTGGTGCAGTCACAGCTTGCTCCATCCTCCAACTCTTGGGCATAAGCAATTCTCCTTCCTCAGCCTCCTGAGTAGCTGAGACTATAGGCTCCCGCCACCACACCCAGATAATTTTTTTTTTTTTAAGTTTTTGTACAGACAGGTCTCATTATGTTGCCCAGGCTAATCTCAAAGTCCTGGGCTCCAGCAATCTTCCCTCCTCAAACTCCCAAAGTGGTAAGAGTGTAGGTGTGAATCACCACACCCAGCCTTTCTTCCATGTGCGTTTAAGACTATTCCCTTTTCCTCCAGGCATGGCTTGAGATGCATCCCTCACATTTGGTATGTCCTATCTTATTGTTCAAATCAAGATATTTTCTAATTTTTATTTTTCCTTGTTTGACCTATGAGTTATTTAAAATCATATTTTTTAAATTCCAGATTCTTAGGGTATTTGTCTATTTTTCTTTTCCTTTCTTTTCTTTTTTGAGACAGAGTTTTACTTTGTCATGCTCAGTAGAGTGCCATGGTGTCATAGCTCACAGCAACCTCATACTCTCGGGCTCAAGCGATTCTCTTGCCTCAGCCTCCCAAGTAGCTGGGACTACAGGTGCCCGCCACAACACCTGACTATGTTTAGAGATGAGATATTGCTCTGGCTCAGGCTGGTCGCAAAGTAAGTTCAGGCAATCTACAACCTTAGCCTCCCACAATGCTAGGATTACAGGTGTGAGCCACTGTGCCTAGCCTATTTATTTTTTCTTATTGATTTCTAGCTAAATTCCGTTGCAATCAGAAAATATATTTTGTGTCCTTTTTTTTTTTTTTTTTTTTGAGAGAGAGCCTCAAGCTGTTGCTCTGGGTAGAGTGCTGTAGCAACCCAGCTCATAGTAACCTCTAATTCCTGGACTTAAGCGATCTCTTGCCTCAGCCTTCCAAGTAGCTGGGACTACAGGCACTTGCCACAATGCCTGGCTGTTTTTTGGTTGCATCCATCATTGTTGTTTGGAGGGCCTGGGCTGGATTCGAACTTGCCAGCTCAGGTGTATGTGGCTGGCACCTTAGCCACTTGAGCAACAGGCGCAAAGCTATTCTGGGCCTTTTGAAGTCTGCTGAGACTTGCTTTATAACCTAACATTTACATTAGTAAACATTCCTTATAGATCCAAAAGGAATATACTTTCCAAATTTTTTTTTTTTTTTTTGAGACAGAGCCTCAAGCTATCCCCCTGGGTAGAGTTCTGTGACATCACAGCTCACAGCAACCTCCAACTCCTGGGCTCAGGCAAGTCTCCTGCCTCAGCCTTCCAAGTAGCTGGGACCACAGGCGCCTGCCACAACGCCTGGCTATTTTTTTGGTTGCAGCCGTCATTGTTGTTTTTGGCAGGCCAGGGCTGGATTCGAACCCACCACCTTAGGTGTATGTGTCTGGTGCCTTAGCCACTTGAGCCACAGGCGCTGAGCCCAAATTGTTTAATACAACATTCCATGTGTGTCTTTCACGTTGAATCTGTTAAGTCTTCTATTCAAGTTTTTCTTAAATCTGCTGATTTTATATTTATATTTATTATTTTATATTATAATGTCAGTTATTGAGAGAGGCTTATAGAAATTTCAAACTGTGGTTGTAGATTTTTCTGTTTCTTCATCACTCCTACTGACTTTAGGGGGTCCATTTCGGTGGCACTATCTGCACCCTTCCCTCCCAACTTGCAGTGCACAGCCATTATTGGTTGTGCTTTTCAGAGGTACTGGTGTTCTCACCTGTACATCTTTTAGTGCTATGGTATTAGAATTGCCACTTGGGACATAGTTGGGGAGGAGGGTTGGGAGGGGAATTATCTCAACAAATCACATATGGTAAAGCTATATTAATATTCTGAGCTCCTTACACTTTTAATTCCTTTCTCTGCATTATACCAAGGAATACCTGGTAGTTCAACTGCATTCAGCGTAAGTCACTATCAATTCCAAGTTTTGGTCAACTAGTTGGGCACCCAGTAAGAACCCTTCCCACCTATTTGAGATAACATGGGATCCACTGTTTCTGGTAGGCATAATTATGTCAATGAATTTAGGCCTATAAGACATATGTTAGCATTTTCCTCTCTTGCTGATCCAGAGAGGAATCTGTTCCCACGCATAACCCCAGATATACTTCCACATTTATGGCAGCGTATATGTGGGAGGTTCAGCAGTGACATCCCAAAGGTGTCTGCATCCGGTCCCCGGAACCTGTAAATGTTACCTTCCTTACATGGTCAAAGGGACTTGGCAGATACGATTAGGTGAAGGACTTTGCGAGGAGATTATCTAGATTGTGTTGGTGCGTCCAGTGTCATCACAGAGATCCTTGCAAGAGAGAGTCAGGAGTGTGTCATCCTGAGAGAAGGGATGTGATGATGGAAGCGAAGGTCAGAGTGATTTGGGGTCACATGCTAGAGAACTCAGGTGATTCCAGGAAGCTGGACCCTCCAGAAGGAAACATCCCTGCTGACAACCTTTTACACTTCTCACCTCCAGAACTCTAAGACGATAATTGAGTTAATTCAAGCCACTATGTCTGTGGTGACTTGTTACAGCAGCAATAGAAAATTAATACAGCATATTAGTAAATCTTACCCTTTCTTTTTCTTCAAATACGTATGTACTTTTGCATGTGACTTGGTAATCAGGCCTTAACGGTAGTCCTTGATGTGACCCTAGCTGTGGTTTTAGAAGCAGAGAAGGATGATGGGAGGCCGAGTACAGTGGCTCATGCTTGTAATCCTAGCACTCTGGGAACCTAAGGCAGGTGGATCACTCCAGTTTGAGACCACCCTGAGCAAGAGTGAGACTTCCATCTCTAGTAAAGATGAGAAAAAACTGAGGCAAGAGGATTGCTTGAATCCAAGAGTTTGAAGTTGCTGTGAGCTATGACGACATGGCACTCTACCAAGGGTGACTATTTGAGACTCTGTCTCAAGAAAGGGGGGTGGGGGTGGGGATGATGGAGTTAGAACCTAAGGGAAAAGGGCACTTCCCTGCAAGTGACCTCCTCAAGTGAGATCATTATAGAAGCTGCTCCCCTAGCAAGCAAGGTTCCACGGGGTTAGAGATTTGGGTACTTAGAGTCATTAAGTTCTCCCAAATTCCTCCATTTGGACTCTTTGGGTCCCAGTCTTTACCCTCACTTTCCAATAAGAGGCCCAGTTATGAATTTAGCCTGTGATTTGGTAATTTGTAGGATCGGATTCTGCTTATTTACAGTAGTCTTTGAAACTCCCTGGTCCATTGATTGTTTTCCTTCAGGTCAGAATTTAAAATCTTGAGACTATCTTTTTTTTTTTCCCTATAAGCTCTCCAACATAATTAGAAGGATCTACTCCATCTCTGCAGTCTAGGGAGATTACAGCTGATCGTTTACGTGGCTGTTTTTCCACTCAGAGCCTTGGGCTACTAGTGTCCCATCCTCAAATACTAACAAAGCTTCACCACTTTGAGACCAGCCCAGCTGAGGAACTCATCCCAGAGGCCTGTTTGCTCATGAGGCCTGTTAATCATAACCTCTATAGGTGCCAATAACTGTATAGGTCATTATATTAACTTCCAATTGCCACTGACTTAAAACAGCACAAATTATTATCATGCAGTTCTAAAGGTCAGAAGTGCTAAAATCAAGGTCTCATTCATTCTGGAAGCACTAGAGGAGAATCTCTCTCCTTGACTTTTTTCAGACTCTGAACGCTGCCTACATTCCTTGACTCATGGCCCCCTCACACCATTTTCAAATCCAACAGCATAGTATCTTCAGATCTCTCCCTGACCCTGCCCTCATTGTCATATCTCCTCCTCTGACTCCCTGTTTCTCTGAGAAGGACCATTGTGATTCATTTGGGCCCACCCAGAAATCTAGGACAGTCTTGCCATCTGAAGGTCCATATCCTTAATCACATCCGCAAAGTCTGTTTTGCCACATAAAGTCCCATATTCATAGGTTCCATCTAAAGATTAGCATGTGACATCTTGGGAGAGGCCATTGTACTATCTGCCCTACTCATGTTTCAGTTGTAGACAAAAAATCCAATTTATCTGGGGTAATTAGAGAGGGGATTATTGTAGGGCACTGGTTGGGTAGAAAAGAAGACTCCTGGAGCTATACTGTGAGCCTGGTCTGACAGAAGTTGCTCCTGGGTTCAGCCTGACAGTAGAGTGTTTGCCCAGGCTTCAGCCGAAACCCTGCACCATTGTGCTTCTGGAAGAGTCTTGGGTCTACCACGTGACAACGTTCCCTCTGCCTTAAGTGAGGGTTCATCTCTAGGTGGGAGCTAGGGCTTACAGAAACACTGGCAGCAGGGGAATCTGAAGGATGTAGTTTTTGGACATTTAGCAATTTCTAGTCTTCTAGAGACTGTCAGGATAGAAAGAATTGGGATAGCATGGTGGCCTGACGGCGGCCAGAGAGCAGCCAGAGATCATCCCAGAGAAGAGCACTTCAGGCAGAGGGGACACACTTGGAAAAGAAGAAAAAGGAAATGCTATTAGTGTAATAAAATAAATAGCCTTTGTTTTGAATAACTAAATAGACATAGTAACCTTGAATTTTCATAAGAGACTGACTTCTTTTTCCTCCTCCCAGAAAAATAAGGGAACATATACTTCTTTCCAATAAGGGTTACTGTCTTTTGTCACATCTGAAGTGCCATTAACTTTACAACATCATTATTTTAGGTAAGAAGAAAATGCTGCCAGTTGAATCATAACTTGCTGTTGATGCTAAGGTACACTGCAGTGTGGAGGATTCATAGTATCCGAGGATCAATGAAATGAAAAAGGAATGGATGGTCCCGCTGTTTGCCTTCCTTTGACTGTTGGTGTTTGATTTCAGAACTGTAGAAGATTTGAAAAACAACGAAAGCCAATGGAAAGATTCCCCACTGGCGACTAGACACCGCGAAATGCTGAAGCGCTGTAAAACTCAGCTTAAGGTCTGTAGAGTTCATTGAATAATGATAGACCCTCCTCAGAATGCTGAGTTTCCTACCAGAATACATACATGCCTTGAGGGAGCCGTTCAAGTCTTTATCTTGATTTTTTCTTTATTATTCTTTTCCTTTAAGATAAAACAATACGGCTCGGCGCCTATAGCTCAACCGGCTAGGGCGCCAGCCACGTACACCTAAGGTGGCGGGTTCGAATCCCCAGCCCTGACCCGCCAAAACAACAATGAGGGCTGCAACCAAAAAATAGCCGGGCATGGTGGCGGGCGCCTGTGGTCCCAGCTACTTGGGAGGCGGGGGCAGGAGACTCGCTTGAGCCCAGGAGTTGGAGGTTGCTGTGAGCTGTAATGCCACAGCACTCTACCCAGGGGGACAGCTTGAGGCTCTGTCTCAAGGAAAAAAGAAAAAAAAAAAAAAAAGATAAAACAGTACATTTTAAAATTTGTTGATACCTTACGTGTATCTGCATTTCAATTTAAATCTTGAGACAAAATATGCAAGTGCTTATGCTATGACTTCATGAATTCCTAATGGATCTTATCACTCTCAGGGTAACACCCTCTCTCCTTCCCTGCCTTGCGCAAGGTCCTCCTTACCTGCCGCCCTCTGGCTCCTCCCGCCCACACTCCCAGCATACATACATGCATATGTGTCTATGTCCATTTTCGTGACACTTGGCAAAGTGGATCTCTGGTACTAGAAAGAGCTTTCCTTTGCTCCTCATTCATTTTTTTGTTTCTCTCTTTTTGAGACAGAGTCTTGCTCTGTCACCTAGGCTAGAGTGCAGAGATGTCACTATATAGCTCACTGCAGCTTTAAACTCCTCAGCTCAAACAGTCTCTTGCCTTGCCCTCTCAGGTAGCTGGAACTACAAGCACATGCCATCATGTCTGACTTTTTTTTTAAGTTTTTATAGACACTGGGTCTCATTATGTTGCTCAGACTGGCCTCAAATTCCTGAGCTCAAACAGTCCTCCCACTTCGGCCTACTAAAGTGCTAAGCATACAGGTGTGAACCAGTGCCTGGCCCCCTCAATTTGCATTTTTAATTGGAAATGATTGGTTGCACAGAACCTAACGTCGGGATGTTCTTGCTGATGAGACATAGCCAAAAATAAATGCTGGCTAATGTTGTATAAGAAAAGTGTAAATGGCAAGTGCATTCCATTTATGTTTATGTTTGAATTACAATGCTGAATGTTAGCTGGTCCTGCTTTCTGCTGATTGGTAAGATAATATGTGGAAATTTCACCGGACTTAGATTTCTGGTTCAAGATTTCAGTTTTATTTACTAATAGACTAGACCTCTTCAAGATATAAAATAAGGGCCCTTATCTTGGGTTGGTGGACCCTCTACGCCAGGCGTCCTCAAACTATGGCCTGCAGGCCACATGGGGCCCGCCTAGGACATTTATCCGGCCTACTGGGTGTTTTTGCCTCTGCTGCCTGTCCTGCTTAGCAGCCGACTTGTCCCGGGGCCGCAGTCTGGCCTTCCAACGGTCTGAGGGACACTGAACTGGCCCCCTGTTTAAAAAGTTTGAGGACCCCTGCTCTAAGCATTCCACAGATGTGTTTCAAAGGGTTCTATAAATTTCCATTTCAGTATACATGTGAATATGTGTGTAATCTCAGCAATCCTCTGAGGAAGGAATACATCCCTAGTGGACACAGGTTTTGTCTGAGGGCTGTTTTAAGCAGAGATTCTGGAATTCAGAAGCAGATTATATGACTGGTTCCCACTAATGGTTCTCACCCCCAAGAGGCCTCCCCAGTCAAGTTCTTGGCATATGACAGTAGTAATTAACCTTTGAGCACTATGTGCTAGACTTTCTGTGTTCAGCAGTTTGGATGGCATACCTTTTGTGTTTCTCAGGTAAAAGGTTTTAAGACTCAGCCTATATCCTTTGGCAAGTTAGTTAGAGGTGAAGCTCTGTCTACCACCTGAATTTCCCATCTCCCTGCTCCATTCCCTGCCCGGTCACACCACAGGGACTTAGCTATTGACTGATCTAAGGGTAGGGCATACCTGCTTCCACAGAAACTGGTACGGTGCAAGGCCTGTGCTGATGCTGGCTTACTTGACGAGAGCTTCCTGAGAAGGTGTCTGAATTTTTATGGCCTTCTTATTCAGCTGCTGCTCCGCATCCTGGACCCCGCATATCCCGAGTGAGTGTGCTCCTTCCTCTTTACCTCGTTCTCCAAAGTTGGTAACTAAAACTAAAACCCTCACTTTTATCAGGATTCACCTCTCAGTTTCCAGATGGCATTTATACAGACTATGAAATTGGCTGTATGTATTAGTTGGTGTTTTTCCCTGCAATTAGTTGGGGGAATTTTCTCTGCAGTTAGTGAAGGGGAATGTCACAGTGTTTCTTAAAAATTTGCTATAAAATTTTCGATAGAAAAGGAAATTTATGAATCGGCAGCTAATAACTGGAGATAACAGAATATTAGGCCCTGTTAAGCACTGGGTCCAGGAAAATACCCATCTAACTCATAGCGTGAGCTAAGAATATTGTTGATCACTTTGTCATCAACATGGACATCTCCTCCACGCAGCCATTTTGATTTTATTTAATATTACTGTTAGTATTCTTTTACCATTATTAAAAAGTCTTTAGGTCACTGATTTTGGTAAGATTGGCTCAAGCCCTCTGCAGGAGCAGAAAACATGTGTAGCTCTGTCATCCCGAACAGATTGAGTTGTACAAAATGACCAACTATGACCTTTTCATTTCCTTCTTATTTTCCATATTGCATTAATCTTAATAAGAAATCAAGAAAAGGAAAAACATCTCACACAGAGCCCAGCATATCAGCTATCCTCGTTATTCCCTGTTCGTTTCTGATTGTGGTTTCTTTACCTGGATACATTTTACATGTTGTTTTATAGCAGTTTTTCTCCCAGATCAAATACTTATTTAATGACAGCGTTAAGATTCCTTATAGTTTGCACCATGATTTCATTTTGTAAATTGCCCTTTTTTTCTCTTTGACAGCATAACACTGCCTTTAAATTCCGATGTCCCCAAGGTATTTGCAGCATTGCCTGAGTTTTATGTAGAAGATGTTGCTGAATTTTTATTTTTTATTGTACAGTAAGTGCCTTTAACGTATTACATAGTTCTAATATTTTTCTGCATCATAAGTACGTGATATTGTGAGCTACATAAACCTCCATTTTATGCCTGATATTTTATGTAACTTTTAACTGAATGCTGCCTAGAGACTGGAAAAAAATAAATCATACCATGGCACTGGTCCAGTTCCAATAATATCGCAAAGACAGAAGCAGGATTAACATGGAGATAATAATGTATTCTGTGGAAATTAAGTTGAATTTCTAATAGTTGAGTATATGGTTCTGAGAAACAGAAGGAACAGTTTATAAATAACCGAGTGAACATCCAAGAGCCAGAAATAGCCACATCTATATTTTGTACCGTCATTTGTTCAATTGTAAAATTGGAGGAAGCTTACAAAGACATGGCTGGAATTTATAACTGAAATTATAGATCTTAAAAAATTATATTCAGATCTTTATTTGGTTGATAAAATTCACACTTTATTTCTATTCATATAACATTAATCTTTATAATGTTATAATTCCTGTAACATCACAGGTTATAAGAATGACAGCCACAATTCTTTGGCACCATGACGTTATTGTGGTAGTGGTGTTGGCTGGAAAATGAAAGAATGGGATGCGAAGTCCGTTTTGCATTGTAAAAGTAGTGGGGTTCACAAGCACTAATTCACAAAATACACCTTGTGAAAGTTTTGGAACAGACAGAAAAATCCGAAATTCTATAAATGGGGCATAATAATAAGCTCTGACATTAGGTGGAGCAAGTCGTGTTGCTGCCATAAAAGCTGCCCTTCAGGGAAGCCGAAATCAGCGGTAACACATGAATTTTGAATGGTGAAAAATGTAACCAAAAAGGATGCTCTATGTGCTGAAAAACCAACTTTGGTTCAGAAAAACAAATATCACATGTTCTTACTCATGTGGGAGCTAAAAACGCTGACCTTATAAAGGTGGAGAGTAGATGGACAGATACTAGAGGCTGGGAAGGGTGCGTGGGAGGGAGGGGGATATAGAGAGGTAGTGATGGGGACAGACGTAACCTTAGAGGAGAGGTGTTGCTTAACAGTGAGTAATGTACACTTCAGAGCAGCCACCAGAGAGAATTTGAATTGTTCTCAACAGATAGCGATGATAAATACTCCAAGTGATGGCTATCTCTTTGACATCATCCTTACACATCCGTGCATGTAACAAAACCTTGCATGTACCCCATAAATATGTAAAATGTTATGTATTAAAAAGCCTTGGGAGTTTAAGCAGCTCAAGTCACATTTTTAAATTTGTTCTAAGCATAGTATTCATAAAAAGAAACACTTCTTGAAAATTTTCATTTATGCTTATTGTCAGCAGAATTTTTAAAAATCAAAACAACTCCATCAAAGAAATTTTAAATCTTTTGGTAGAGAGGACCTTTTGTGAAATGTACCTGTCTTAAATCATAGCTTTGGTTTAGTTTCTGAAACGTCATAAGTTAATAGTATAACATTCTACAGCCAGCAAACATGTTTGGTTTTAAATCTGCCTAGTTATGACGTAAACAATCACTTTAAAGTCAACAAGTTGAAAGGGCATTTGGCATCTGCGCCCCTCGACCTGTATGCCCTTCCTCACCTGATGACGCCAGCCTTCACCCAGGTTGAGTTTCTCAGAGCTATGTTTCTTGTTCTTCTTGCCTGCATTCAGATACTCTCCCCAGGTGCTCTATGAGCCCTGTACTCAGGATATTGTGATGTTCCTTGTTGTGATGTTGTGCAACCAGAACTACATCCGAAATCCGTATCTAGTGGCCAAACTGGTAGAAGTCATGTTTATGACCAACCCTGCTGTTCAGCCACGAACCCAGAAGTTTTTTGAAATGATTGAGAATCATCCTCTTGCCACCAAACTGTTGGTACCTTCACTGATGAAGTTTTATACAGGTAGGTTCCTGGGTGTACACGGTTGCACCTGGTGGTCAGACATAGGCAAGGTCGTCTAAAGCCAGCAGGCGGTCGCCGGAAACCTGGTACCTAATGACCTGACGTCCACTTACAAGTGTAACCTCCCAGTCTGCTGCTGGCAGAGAGTGTATTATACTATCGGCTGCTTTTCCCCCAAGTAGTGAAGACACTGCATTGACCATTCTACATCCAGGACTCTGCTACAGCACATCCATGACAAGATGATTAGCCTTGAGACCCAGTTGGTATCAACAGTGCAAGGTGGTGGTGTTATCTGAGTGAAATTACCTGGTTCATTTTAGCTTTGAACTTAACTGGCCTTAGTTTTGTATCAACATTCTATAACCGAGACTTTCCAAAGTGTGGATTAAACAAGAAACTTGTTAAAGAACTTATTCTTGGGTCAGGCATGGTGGCTCATGCCTATAATCCTAGCACTTTGGGAGGCTGAAGTGGGTTGATTGCTTGAGCTCACGAGTTCAAGACCAGCCTGAGCAAGAGTGAAAAAGTAGTTAGGTGTTGTGGTGGGTACCTATAGTCCCACCTACCTGTGAGGCTGAGGCAAGAGGATCACTTGAGCCCAAGAGTTTGAGGTTGCTATGAACTACGATGACACCACGGCACATTACCCAGGGCAACAGAGTGAAACTCTATCTCAAAAAAAAAAAAAAAAAACTTGCGCCCTGTTCAAATTAGCAGAATCAAATTCTAGGGGCCTCTGGGAATCCCTGTTCATGAATTTTGCCTGTATTTATTGAGCTCCTAGCATTTGCCAGGTATGGTTGCTGGGTGCCGGATTACACTGGTGAAGACAGCGTGCTAGACAGGGCGGTCCTCCCCTTCTGAGTGAATTGTATTCCAAATTTTTAATTTGGCTTTTTTGAGCTGTTACTCATGGGACCTGTTCACCTGTCCTCCAGCACAGGCACAAGATTGTTGTACTAATGGAACATTTTCCTACCAGGTTGTACGTTCCTCAGGAAAGGAGGTGTGTCTTGTCTCTCTTTTCACCTTGTGTTGGACCCAGCACGTTCTGGGCACCGAGTGCACATCTTTGGCACTTAATGCCATCAACTCACCATGTTCTTATAAGAAACACCGGCCAGAGCGCCGTCAGTCCCCCGCTGCTCACAGCCGAGGACCTCCCTGTGTTCACCATCATTCCTTCTCTGTTAACCTGGGCCTGGGCCTGTGCTGTCATCTCTCTCTTTACTCCAGAGGGTCCCCCAAATCTGTCAACCTACTTTTCCTTTGTCATTATTATTTTGTAACATCTAACCAGAGTCTGTCTCCTTCCTCAGCCTACCCCTGTCTTCTTAAATGTAACACAGGTACACAAGCCTTTTCAAGTTTTGCTAACATTCTTACCTAGCCAAGAGGAGAGAACATTCCTGAATAAAAGGCCCTTTCTTGGGTAAGAGTAGTTCTCTCTCGTCTCTTAGCCCTAGTCGGGGTGGAGCCCAGGTCGTCCAGGTACAAGCCGTGCTTTCTGTGTGCTCTGGATGAACCTCATGTGGTGCCTCGGAAATAGCTGGCTTGGTGTAATTACAGACGATTCAGAATTTCTTCAAATGACAATGAGGTTCCACTTTTCAAATATTAAATTTATTTTTAAGCTGAAAAGACCTAGTGCTAGCTTGTAGAAGAGTAAACTAACCTGCAAAAATGCGTTTGACCTACCCTGTGGCCAGCAAGCAGCATTCGTGTGTGAAACTCTCATGAGTGAAAATTGGCAAAACCTTTCTGGAAGGTGGTTTGGCAGTCCTCATCCAGTGTTTATAAATGTTATATCAGTCAGGGTCTAGTCCAGAAAACAGAAACATACTAGTTATTTTAACAATTTGGCAGGGTGCAGTACCTCACGCCTGTAATCCTAGCACTTGGGGACACTGAGGTAGGTGGATCATTGACGCCAGGATTTCAAAACAAGGCTGGGCAATGTAGCAAGATATTATCTCCACAAAATAAAAAAATAGAGAATTTGTAAGAGCAACGGGGAAGGCTAAAGAAGCATCATCTTTCCTTGGAGCTAGGAGAATCAAAGAAAAGGTCTGGGCTTGTTAGAACCCAGCTGCTCTAATGGGGACTTACTTGGATGGGACTAGGACCCAGAGCTCTGTGGAGGGCCCCTAGCCAGCTGGGGCTCGTATCTCTGGGGGTGTGCAAAGTTGCTAGTGTACCTTGTTGGCAGCCCCAGCAGAGGGCCGGCTCAGGAAGGGAAATTTCTGCAGATTGCCAGCCCCAGAATCACAAAACCAGCTGAGGGAAACAGCTAAATAACCAGCATACCCTCTGACACATAAACTTAATTTCTAGAAGTGTATTCTAGGGAAATAATTGTAAGTGTGCACAACTGTTTATGGCATTATTCACTGCAGCATTATTTAAATGTGGCATAGTGAAAATAATGGAAACAACCTAAATTTTTGCCACTTAGGGATCAATTAAGTTACGGTTTATCCGTAATAAGATGGTTATTTTTGAATGGTAGAATTATGAATAGTTTCTTTTTTATTATTATTATCTGAACATCTTAATTTAAACTTACTGTTAGTAATAGAAACAAAAAAAATTTAATTTTTTTTTGGCTGGGGCCGGGTTTGAACCCACCACCTCTGGTATATGGGGCGTCCTGCTCCTTTGAGCCACAGGCGCCACTCCCCCCAAATTTAGTTGAATGGGGGTTTTTGGGTTTTTTTTTTTTTTTGAGACAGAGTCTTACTATGTCGCCCTCGGTAGAGTATGGTGGCGTCACAGCTCATAGCAACTCTTGGGCTTAAGCTGTTCTCTTGCCTTGGCCTCCCAAACAGCTGGTACTATAAGCGCCCTCCACAATGCCTGGCGATTTTTTGGTTGTAGTTGTCATTGTTGTTTGGCAGGCCTGGGCTGGATTTGAACCCACCAGCTCCAGTTTATGTGGCTGGCACCCTTGCCACTGAGCTATAGGCACCGAGCCAGTTAAATGTACTTTGTAGTCAGTGTCCTGGGCCTGTCACTATGGCTTCCAGACATACTCACGTATGTCTACACTTTTAACCCAGTGGGGCCTCTTGCCTATGAGACCAGTGGTGGGGCTGGTGGAGCCCCACTAGGAATGTTCCAGGAACTGGTGGGTGGGTGTTTTTCTCTCCCTCCCCCTAGCCATGGAGCAGTGTGCCCTCTGGCCTGGGCCAGCTCTGCAGTTAGGGACAGATGATACCTGTGCTAATAATAGCCACCACTCATCGAATGCTTACTGATCCTCTCATTTAATCCCCCACAGCCGCTCTAAATCTGAGTGTTATAAATATCTCCATTTTACAAATGAGGAAACTGAAGCTTAGAAGGGTCAAGAAGCTTGCTGAAAGTCAATAGCTAGCAAGTGGCAGTGACCTCAGCAGTGGGGCTTTAGCACATGTGCTTCTGACTCTGCTGTTCTTCATACAGTTACCAAGGGCCTGGCAAGGAGAGTGCCCTGCAGGGGCATCACAGATAGAACTTGAGGTACCCTCACCTTCATGTGAAGACCTGCTAATTAGTCCTGACCCCTAAACACGTCTGATTCTCAGACATGGATTAGAGTTGACATAAACAAGATCAATGTATGTAGTATGAAATGAGCTCTTCTTTTTTTCTAGGAGATAGGGCCTTGGTCTCAAACTCCTGGCCTCAAGTGATCCTCTTGCACCAGTCTTCCAAAACACTGGGATTACAGCTTGAGCCAGCATAAAGATATTATGCTAGCTTAGAGATGTTCACACTCAAATTTTTGTTTCAAAAATACAATTAAGTTTCAAAATAAGGAATATTTTATTTTGTATCACACAGTTCCTCTCTGACTTAATTTAAAATTATTCTCTTTCCTAAAACTGATCTGCATACAGTAGATTCAATCACTGATTCAGCAACATTGTGTGAAGATGTCCCGGTCCCTGCCATTGTGGCTCAGAAATTCTAGTTGGGAGACAGACACTTAAAAAAAGGTTCAGAGACAGCGAATGTGGGAGGGAAGTGTGGGGTTACTTTCAAAAGGTAGCCAGGGGAGGTCTTGGAGGAGATGGCTTTGGAGTGACGTTGAAAATGGGACAAACGTGAGCCATGAGAGGATCTCAACAACAGTGTGACAGGCAAAGGGGACAGCAAGTGTAGAGGCCCTGGCAGCTGAAGGAATCCAGAGAGAAGGCAGCAAGAAGCCCTCGGAATTAGTAACTGGGGCCGGTGTGAGTGTGAGGGAGTGTTAAGAGGGAATAAGAAAAAAGGACGTCGGGAGAGATGCATGTTGCCAAGTAATGAATTCACAGCGGTTACGAAGGCTCTGCTGTGCTCAGAACGCAGCACAGATCTTAAGGGCAGGTGGAGAGGATGCGAGGCATTGTGCTGGGCCCCGTGTCTCCTCCTCTGTAGGCTGTGCTTAAATCAGCTCTCCACACTCGAGTTCACACCTTCATACAATTAGTAAAGTGACACTTAGTTCATCTTAAAGGTTGACTTAATGAATATACATAAGTACTTTCAGATCTTGGTATGGTAAGTGTTAATTATCTTATTCCTTTTATTTTTAAATAACTTTTTTTTAATCACAAAAAAAGGTCTTTTTTGGATATATAGAAAATTAAAAATCTCCTATGATCTCTATACTCAGGGTCTCTGTTAACATTTTACTCTGTTTCTTACAGTTAGTTAATTTTCTAAAAGACTGATTGGACCCAAGCTACATTTCATGCAGTAATCTGCAGTTGTCACTTAATATATCTCACATAGGTTTTTGTGTTCTCTCCTGGGCATTCGGATCATTCATATTGTTTTCTCTAGTATAAATAGTAATATAAAACTTACTGGGTACCCTTGGAGATCAGTCTCTGAACATGCCTGTCTGCATTCTCTTGAGTAGAATTGTTGGATCAGAGGGCTTGGCGTACCCATGGCTTGTGCTCCATTTCACCAAATTGCCCTTAGGGAGACTGCATCACGTCCATTCCTACCAGCATTGATAGTGCACCTGTTTCCCTAAATCTTTACCTCTACTCCGTATTGTCATTTTTGCACTGTCTTCCAATTTGATAAGTTAAAAATAGTAACTTATCTTAAGTTACTTTTTTATCTTTCTTAAGCCTTATGGTCTTTGCTTGGCAGGTTTTCCTTTTTTTTTCTTTTCTTTTTTTTTAATTTTGTCATGAGTCCTGGAATTTCTCATGCTTAAATTGTTTGCCATTTGGATAACCACTTTCCTTCCATTTTAATAGGTCTGGGGATGTGGCCATTGGCAAACGAGTAATGAGTACACCATGAGGGATTCATTGTGCTTTTCTCTACGTGGTTGAAAATGTCCATAAGATAAAAGTATTTAAAATAATAGACATTTAATATATATGTGGCCCTCGGTAAAATTTAACACAATTTTTTTTGTACTCAGAAACGCTAATTTAAAATGCTGTGTGTTCCCTGAGAATATTTGGGGCGAGGGTCCTTAAAAAATGTGAAATTCGGTATGATTGCTGTAAATTAATAACTTAAAATTGGGGGAAGGATGATAATTCTACTTTGGGTCATTGTTAAGTTGATGCTGTCCTCATGATACCAGTTTTCCCGGCCTAGTTCCTTGTGGCACTCTATCACTGCCACATCTTCATTGTGAAATTTTTGTCTTTAGAAGCGTCATTTCTCTCCTGCCTTACCCAGGAGGGAGAGGCGAACCTTGACCAGGTCTCTGATGCTGCAGGTTTCTATTCACTCTCTGTCACTGTTGCTGCAATTTAACTGCATTTGGAATGTGAGAAAGTGCACGTCCCTCAGTCCCTTTGTCTTTCTTCTTTAGATGTTGAGCATACTGGAGCCACCAGCGAGTTCTATGACAAGTTCACAATTCGCTATCACATTAGCACCATTTTTAAAAGCCTTTGGCAAAACATAGCTCACCACGGCACTTTTATGGAGGAGTTCAAGTGAGTATTGGGCCCCTGATGTCACAGCTTGCTCTCTTGCAAATCAAAGGAAAAATGGCCGCTGGGTTCTGTGTTGACTAGTTGGTTGGGCTCAGTAAACTTACCAGGAGGCACTGCTAAACAGGACAGGGTTATCGGAATGGCAGTGCCTGAGGATACTGCTGAATTGAGGACGGTGTACATAAGGAAAGAGCCCATATATAAAAATACAGACAGAAAAAAAAGATCCTATAAATATGCTGAGATGATATGTTAAATGTTTTCTGGTGTTTCTATGATTTCAGTGTTAAATGAAGTTGTCAGAATAGCTAAAATGAAATCATACACTGCTCTTGAATTTGATACCAAGCTTTAGATTTAGGAATGTTAGGAGGACTTTGGATTTAGAGCAGTGAGGTGAAGGTTATCATTTGAAGTGTTATTCTTTGTGGTAAACGCCTGAACTTTAATTAAGGACTTTTCATATACCTACCTGAAATTTGAGTGACTGCTTAAACCTGGACATAAGTAATTCTGTTTATCTGTCAGTGTTTAAAAAAGAAAGCTAGATAGAAAATGTCGAACTCTTGAATTATTCTTCAAAAAAAATTTATGCTGGCACTGCCCATAGCTCAGTGGGTAAGGCACCAGCCACATACACCAAAGCTCGTGGGTTCGAACCCAGCCCAGGCCAGCTAAACAATGACAACTGCAACAAAAAAATAGCCAGGCGTTGTGGCAGGCGGCTGTAGTCTCAGCTACTTGGGAGGCTGAGGCAAGAGAATCGCTTAAGCCCATGAGTTTGAGGTTTCTGTGAGCTGTGATGCCACAGCACTCTACCCAGGGCGACATAATGAGACTCTGTCTCTACAAAAAAAAAAAAAAAATTTATGCCATCTGCTTGGATCTTTTGTAATCCATGCCAGATCTTTGATCGAGTCTAGCTACCACTTGTTAACTGAATCATTAGTCAGTAATACACATATTACCAATGGAGCAGTCATTTGCTAGATAGCTTTCTGTGGAATAAACTCTTTGTTTCTGTAAACTGCTCTTATAGTCAGAATTACATTCTATCAGAAGCCTAGCACAAACTTAGGACACCAGGCAGGCCCATGGCTTGATCTGTGGGTGCTGATTGGAGGAGCTTGTCCTGAATTTGCCATGTTCCTGCCATCAAAGCCTTCCATTCTTGTTAGCAAGAACTCCTCTTCCCCAGTCATGGGCTTACTGCCCCGATCACATAGTCGTAAATTCCGAAGTGTAGCTTCCCTTTTCTGTACTAATCTGGCAGTTCCAGAGTTGAACGGAGGTAGATCAAGCTGTTTCCCTTCCCTGACAAGTCTTCATGATGACATGGTCTGTAGCACCGTTCCTTGGATCGGAAGCTTCAGGTTCTGTAAAGCAGGTTAATATCCTGCTTTGTCAATACCTCAGGTTTCAGTTTTTCTTTAATGTGCATTTCTCTGTGATGAGGAATGACTTTATAACCTCCATAGTTAACCATCTCCTTATGAATACCACCTCCTTAAATTGACCTAATTTTTTTTTTTTTTTT